ATTTAAATATTATTTTCTTCTCTTATTTTAATACAAATATATTTTTCAGTCAAGTCGCGGCTTGAATTGTTTTTATAATGAGCCATGGTAAACGAATTTTGTGTTTAAAATATACTCTATAGATACGTAATATTATACAAACATAACAATCTGTACAGAATCGATGATTTCAGGTTAAACTTGTTTCGTTGATTGTTTTGTTTTGAAACTTTAACAAATATTTGCAGTACTGTTTATTAATAATTTAACAGAAATAAATGTTATTTTGTTTTAAATATCAATCGCATAAAACATAAATTATATATTTACGTATATACATAGGTATAATAGAGTCTAATAAAATTTTCATTTATTTTCTTGTTTCTTAATTTCTGCTAAATCTGCAAATTTATATTTTAAACATTTTTAGACATAACTTATTATGGTTTATGATTTTAGAATTTAATAACTATGTACACAAAAAGCATAATTTTTAAAATAATAGCAAATGTATGTGTTTTGTTTCGGTATAACATTTACATTATAAACTGTAAATGTGAAACTAACAGACAACGCCTATGTTGCAATTAATTTTAATTCTTGCAATAGGAAAGTGAAGTGATATACATATTGTATAGTCTTATGCACATACAAGTGTATGTAATTATGTTTTTATTTATACATATTTATTTTGTGTTTGAATGTTTTGTCTTTGTTTTATTAAAGGAATACAAAGCACAATTGTATTTATGGAATAAAGCACAATTGTGTATTCATGTGAATATTTTCGAGAAAGATTCCTTTATTAGAGTTGAGTTGAGTTTTAATTAAAAAATTAAAAAAATTCAAATTGCAATTTTTTTTATATTTTCTTAAATATAAATGACATTATCCTTGATAAAGATCAATAAGAGATTAAATTGAGAATCTTATTTTTTACGAAATTTTAAAAACGAATTGCATTTAAAAAAGTATGTATGTATGTAAGTATGTTAAATAGGTACATTTATATACATATATGTAAATACCTAAGAATAAAATTATTTTATACCCACCTATACACATTACTTATTTTATGTGCATAAATTTATTTACTCATTTGAAATGTTATATACTTTTTTTACGTATACATAATATAGCTCACACTTATATACATACGCACATAATAATAATGAAGATATTTTTATTTAATTTACTTGTACCGTTTTCTTTTCACGTTTATAAAGCGTTTTTATTTTTTTAATATGATTTATTGTCATTTTTCTCTTATATTTTTCATCGTCTGTAAAGTAATATCAAAACAAGACAAAGAGTACATATTTTATTTAGTGAATTTATTCTATATTATTTTCTACATTATAAATTCATAATATATAAATACATTTAAGAAAATTCGTATAACCACAATAAATGATATCTACAGAATTATAATATAAATATATATACATACCTACATATTGCATTTACATATTAATCCATTATCTTTTTTTAACATTAACATATGACGCTTACTCATTTCATTTCATATTATTATTACTTCACCGCAGTGCCGCTGTTGCTGCTACAGTACAGAGAGCAAATTATCAATATTATTAACTACACAATCATTTATAAAAGAACAAACAAAAGAGAAAAGAAATTAAAATAATAACCATATATTCAAACTCAATACCACAAAACATCAAAAATTTAAAAAGTCAAACAACATAGCATAGTATTCGCAGTACACAACAAAAACAATACAAGGTATCAGTTAGTTAAGTACAATTTAGTCGACTCTTATTTTGCAGCTCAGTTCTTTATCGGCTGTTAAAATAGAAAGACGTGGAAATAAGATTTTTTTATTTTATTTCTTTTTAAAAAATAGTGTTGTTTTTAATATTCTTTTAATTTAACTTAATATTATTTAAAAAGAAAAATTAATTAAAATCGAGTGAAAAGTGAAATAAACTAAATAATTAAATGGAAATATTTTACTTTTTTTTTCTTTTCTAATTATTTGTACCTTTGTATTTGATTTGAATTTGAATGTAAAAAGTGAATAAATGATTTTTATTTTCAACATTTTGCATTAGAATACAACTGTAAAAAAAAATAACTGTATATAACTTAAAATACAGACATCAAAGTATTATTTTACATTTTATTTAACAGAGATGTTATAAATAATGTTTTAGAAATGAAAAAAATAGTTTAGTGTTCACAGCGATTTTTTATTTTCTAAAGCCTTTTTAACTACGTATATTTAATTGTAGGTACACACCTATGTGAATACCTATATTTAATTCAACTTTAAAGGAAATTTGGAAGAATAGGTACATAAGAAAAAAAAAACGTAAAATCTGCAATGCATGTAATTATATATTTTACCTATATATTTTTCAAAAAAAATTATTTTATAAAAATAAAATGAAATTTATACATAAATTTAGAATAATATAATGCAAAATATATACGTATAGATTATGTATATCTGTACATACATACATTCATATATGAATAAATTGAGAGAATAAACATTTTTAAAATAACATTTTCTTTTTCGAATCTTGCGCACAAACAATTTGTTGAGTTTTTGTTTTTATTTTGGTTCAATATTATTAAAATTTTCCTGTATATAAAAATATTATGCAGAATTAAATGTATACTCATTACATGTATATATGTATATGCATATGAACATATTTAACATGTATTTACCTAAGTATATGAACAGAAAATAAGAATAAGAATTTTTTTTTGGCAATATTCCGTTTTATGCTACATCATCATCAAACGAACATATGTTTGCAAAAAAAATTTTTTGTTTTGTTTTTTTTTTTTGTGATGTTTTTATTGAATTTTCATTAAAAAACATTTTATAAACATAAAAAAAAATCTAAAATTGATAAATAAAAAAATAAAGTGATTAACATTTGTATTTTTTTTTTTAATAATTTACAAGCAAAAATAATTAAACAAAAAGTGTGTCAAAAATACGAACTTTTAACAACATACAAACAAACGAAAAACGAGATTCAATTAAAAGGTAAATAAATTTATGATAAACTAAGTAATGCAGGTAATTAAAAATAAAAAGTAAAAGAAAAAAAAATCTAATCATTATTAAGTATGCATAAACAAAAACTTAAAATCATATGTTAACTATTTTTTTAAGAAAATATTTACATTATACTTAAACACATACATACATACATTTATACATTATATATATATTTAAAGACTGTATAGAAAATAGTACTTATACAGTTATAAGTACATACATACATACTTAATGTGTATTTGCTATTGATTTCGTTTACTTGGTTTTTAGTATTAAAATAACGTTTTATTCGACCTTAACCGACTGAATTACTGAAGCCTACGGCAATCTGATTATATAACTAGTTTTTCAAATGTATGCTCATATGAATTTAAAATTAACTTTTGGGGTTGTAGTATGGCTACTCCTATTCGCTGTCGTCAAGTCATTTCACTAAAACTTTTAGGATATTATTTGAGCTATGCTTGAACAATTGACCATTGTTTGAATTTCATTGTTCAATTGCAATAGTAGCAGTTCTTGGCTGAAAAGAAACAATTTCTGATAGTTTGATTACTTTGGTGTTTCCTGTTTTCCCATTTGACTTATTCTACGATCGGATGGGCTTATTTAAATCAGCGCAGAATTTTAAGCTGAACAAAAAATCTACATTACTTATTATATTATGTACAAGTTCATACTGTAAAATAATCCTTGAAGTTTTAACCTTTAAGTAAGTACTTGAATTATATATAGAAGATGATTTTAGACTTTCACTTACGTCACTAACGATTTTAAAATCAAAAATCACATTATTCTATTTTTCAAGAGTTTCAGGGATAAGTCGCATATGAATACTTATATATAAAATTCATGGATGTACGTATATATAAGTACTTATACATATATAAACTTAACGAAAAATATCTCTCAAAATTAATAATGTGTCGTTCCAAAGAAAACATATTCTTAAATCGATTGATAAAAAACTTATTTTCAATACTTAAGTGTTCTTTAATGTTTGTGCTTGTCATAAAACCCGAAATGCACTTATAAGCATCGAGCACAAAAAAAGTATAACATATTACGTATACTGTATTTTTACTTTTATGCAAACGCTATGGCTTAACTTCTGCGATTAAATATTTTTTTTATAATTAATTATTACAGCTCACTCTATTGCAAAATTTCGTAAACATGGCGATTAAATTATAATTAAACGTCACAAAATTTTATTGTAATACATAAAATACAATTTATAAGATCCAATAATATTGAAAATTTGCTATACAAACTTAAGTACATAGTGATATATAAGTATATAGAATAAAATATACATTTAAGTATATGTACGTATACTCGTATACTTATATGCGTTATAATAAAATAAAATATTAAAATAAATCGTCAATTTTTTTTCGAAATTTATTTTTTTATAAAATTGTTTCTTTTTCGAATTGGAGCTTCCAATTTCGATGACATATAAGGAAATTGTTCATTGGAATACAGATGGTCATTAATAAAGTTTCATTTTATTATATTACTTAATATCGGAATTTTATTGAAGTTTTCCACTTTAAACACTTTACAAACACACACTTAGTGTTTGCATCTGTTTTTCACGCAAAATGAATTTAATTAAGTACTTAAGTGAAAATAATAAAAAAAAAATTCTATTGAAAATAAAAACATATTTTTTTTTTGTTTGTTTTTCTTTTTATAAAATGACACCAAAATAGCCAAGTCAAAGAATAGAAGAAGAAATAAAAAAAAAAAAAAATAAGTAAGAGTGGAAGAAGAATGGAAAAAACTAAAAAAAGAAAAATGTGATTTGATTTGAAGACACTTGACTAGAAAATAAATAGAATAAAATAAAACAAAAATAAAATAAAAAGGAAAATGAAACGACTACTCATTTTTAGCCCTTGGCTTTTCCCTAATTGGATTGTAACCAATATAACAGCTTGTGTCACAGAGTTATTTTTTTCTTTAAATCAGTTTTCGTTTTTAATTGGCACTTCGCGGATCGAAACAAAAACAGTTTCTTTATTTTATTTAGCTAAATTAATTTTGTTTTTTTCCTTTTCTTTGTTTAGTTTAGTTTTTGACTAATTGAATTAAGTTTTGACCGAAAATATTTTTTTTTTTTTTTTGAGTTTTTTGCTCCCAAACAAATATTAATTTACGAGTTCAAAATAACTATAAATAAAATTAAAGAAAAAAATATAAAACTATTTTTTAAGTAATGAAGTTTTTCAGTTTTCTCTTTATTTTAATTTAAAAATTTTATGATCGCAAATAAATAATACTTAAATATTTTAGTTAATAATTCAAATTTAATGGAAAAATAATAAAATAAATTAATAATTAATAAATTAGAACTCAAAATCCTTTTAAAATTAAAAAAATTCTCTTTGATTGAAAAGAATTATTTAAAAACCATTTTAATGAATAAAATGATCTCCAAATAACCTAAAATAATTAGGGAAATTACTGGGTGTTTTTACTGTAAGTTGCAATTTTCACAAAATGATTAGATTTATGTAATCAAATATTTAAATACTTTTGTTAATAATAAACTACGTAGTTAAAATTTTTGCTAGTTAATAGTTGAAATTAATTTAAGTAGAGCCTGATTCTGTATAATTCGTTATTTTATTCGCCAAGTGAGAAGAAAGTGAGTAACTGTCATATATAAGGATACTTAAGTATTATACTGTACTGTATATTTCGTTTTTTTTTTTCTAAAACACACAAAATTTATTCACTTTGTTTTTGAAAGTGAGGCGGTCAGTCGATAATTTGAAAAAAACAAAACAATTAATACAAAAATCCAATTAAATTCCAATTTTATTGAAAAAATGAAATATCCATTAGGAAAACTAATAATTCTGATTTGAAAGTGAAAAAAAAGTGAAATAAAAAAGCGAGATACACGATTGGGCTCTTAATATTTAAGAATACTTATGTAGCTAGTCAATAGTATTAGACTCAAATTAACATACTTAATTGTGCGTTAGTAAATAATTGTCAATGATATTTGATTGAAAAGTACGTAAAATATGCGCAGTCGTCTAATAAAAAAATAATCATAATTAAGTAATAAAACTCCCAATTAATTAAAATATAAGCAATTTTACCTTTGGCATGCTTTTGTAGAAAAGTACCAACTTATTTTACTATGAGAATTTAAATTTAAAATTTCGACTTAGTAACTCGAATATGTATCTTGTACTACTATACAGCCAATTTAATCAATATAATTACAGTTTATATTTGACTATTATTTTTTGTCATTTTTAGAAACAGTATTTATCAAATGAAGTTTACCTTGAACAACTTTTGCTGTTTTCATCCAGTGTATAAGTACATTCATTTTTAAATATTACTTATCAGTAAAAAAATAAAAATTTAGATAAAAACAAAAAAAAAAAACTTTGAAAAAAATTTTATTCTTTAGTTTTACAAAAAGGTTTCTAAATTTTATATTTTAATTTTTAAATTTATTTTTTTAAACCAAATTCATCCAAACTGATTTAGTATCCAAGACTTACCCAATAATTTTCGATTACTTATTTACTTGATGTAAAGTTTGCAGTTCTATGCTTGAAAAACAAAGTAATTTTTGCCGTAGCAAGTTTTACTATAGAAAAATTTTTACCAAGCTTAAGAAGCTTATGGTACTACTTACTTACTTGTAATATTAAATTAAAAATACTGATACTTAATTCAATATTTTTTATACGTAAGCATAAATACTGTAGGTACGCTATACTTACAGATGTACTTAAGTATACATAAATATACTTAGTTAGATATTTATACTAAAAGTGATTATACTTAAATGGCATTCGAAATAAATTTTAAAATAATTTCCAAAGTAAATAACCATTTAATAATTTTCTTATCTTATTTATTCGAAAACAACAAAGTTTTAAAAACTAAGCGCACTTATTACTTATTATAAAGCTAAAAAGCGAAAGTTAATTTTTATCCGTTCGTATTATTTCATCCGTATGATACTAGACAATTAATATAGATATTGTTAGTATATTTATTGACTTTGTAATTAAAATTTGGCAAATATTTGAAATAATTAATTATAGAAATGTAAGTAAAATGTTATAAACAACAAAATAGTTAATTACTTACACAATATTAATTGCTATGTAAGTTATTACTTACATCATGAAAAACTATATTATTTAACTATACTTACTTAAAAGTATTACTTACTTATAAATATTTCTTTTTGAAATTCTAATGAATTATTTTAAAGTATATTTATTATAATGTTAATATTTAGCTAGAACACTTTATAATTGCTTTATGAAATTTAAAATTAATTGAAAGTGAATGTTTTTAAAAATGTATGAAAAAAGGTACAGTTAAGGTACCTTTTTCTAAGAATATAATGTATGTATGTATGTGAATGTCTTTTTAATACTTACATAAAATATTTGTTAGTAATAAATTGCAATTTAAAAAAAAAACACAACTACGTTGATCTATTTCCGTATTCTTAAAATAGCATATCAAGGCTTTATAATCAAAGGATTTTAAAATGTTACTGCGACTTGACAATTAGGCTTAATTACTTATTCATAATATAGATGCACACTAAACCATAGACATACATGCGCAGAAATCATCATCACTATTATCATAATTATTTAAAAATTAACCTAAATTTTTAAAATATAAAACAAAACGAAAGAAAATAACTATCATGCAATTGTATACATACATAATAAGAATGTACTTGTATAGGTAGATATTTAAAATTATAGTTATACTTTTATTACTTATTATTGTCTATATACCTATTACGTCTTAATTTTGTTTTATGTATCTTATATGAGAATTAAGACCACAACATTCTTAAAGAAAGGATGTAAATTTTAACAGACATGTATACTTAGTTCTCTCTCGCTTGAGAAAAATATAAAATTCATGCTGCAGACTGCATTGCAGGAACTGTCAGTTAATATTGTACAGAAATTACTTTATTATCAATATCTCTTAAAAAAAAATAAGTATACTGTAGAAAATGAAGAGCTGTATATTGTGATATAATTTCTGATACAGTTGTATCAATTCTTTAATACAAAAAAAAAAAAATGAAGTTTACATTCTTACTTTTAGTCATATTTTTTTGGAACCAAACTTTAAAGTTCCAAAGAGGCTTTTCAAACCAAGTCAACAAGATCCATAGACGAAAATTTATTTCTATTTTTAGTATCCATTCTTACTAACAAAAACTCACAATCTTTGTGCAATAAATGTTTACATTTTCCCAATTTCCTGGTTGATTCTGAGAATTTCATTATAACATGTATCTTTATTGAACTGAAATTTGTTACGATTACCATAATTATCTGGATATTAACCTAATAGTTGCCTGTTTATAGAGTGTACCAAATATAAACCCAATATTTCTGTTATATAATATTGTAAACCAATTTCTGATTAAAGACTTTTTCTTTTCTTCAGTATGGTATCATAACCATCCATCATAGACTTATTGACAACAGCCGCAACGATAATGATAAAATTATAAAATAATTCTGCTGTGCTATAAAAATATCACTGTTAACTGTAATCTTTGATTCATCTGTTTGGAGTCTGTATACAGTAGCAGATGAGAAAAAAATGTTCTTATTATTTCTCATTTTTTTTTTATTATTATTTTTGTTATCCATTCATTTTGATAAAATTTTCTAAATGTTTATTTATTTTCAGTCTGTGTGTCTGTAAAGCAAAATTTTCTTGTGGAAAATTTTTTTGCAAAAAAAAAAAAAAATATATTAAATATTTTGTTTAAAAATGAAACAAGGAAAAAGATAAAATTAAATTAAAATAATAAATTTAAAAATATTTATGGAATTTTAAAAAGAAAAATAAAAAATTTGTGAAAAAAGATTTGGTTGTAAAACAAAATAAAAAAATAAAATAAATAAATAAAATTAAAATACAAATAAAAAACTTAAATATATTTTTTTTTTTGTGAACTGAAAAAAAAATCGTCACAATTTAATTTTTTTTTGCGATTCCTTCTTTTCACCGTTATTGTTAAGAAGGGTGGATACCAAAAATAACGGGGTCAAAGTAATACTTAACTGTATAACAAAAGCTATATTCATATGTAAATAAATACAAAGTTATATTTTTTTATAAACACACACAAATATACACAGTATTGCAAACAATATAATGCTAGCATGTACTTAGTGTATATACGCTACACCATAGCATATACTTATTTACATATAGGTATGCATAGTTTTACATTATGTACATATACATGTATATATATAAATTAATTTATGTATAGATTTTTTTTTGTTCATGTTTTTATTTTTGTTATATTTTTTTTTGGCGAAAAATCAATAAATTTTCCATTTTTATTTTGTTTTATTTTCTAGGTAAAATTCACATCCAGATATCAGCTAATTTTTGATTTTACAGTTCAGAAAACTTATTAAAGAAAATAATAAGGATAATTTTTCTGTTTTTTATTTATTTCAATCTCAATACTTATTGTTTTTATTTTATAAAAATAAAAAAAAAAATTTATACTTAATTGAAACATTGAAAAGGGAAATTAAAAACAAAATGCTTATTAAATATTAAAATAATGCAAACTTTCAATTAAAATTAAAATTAAAATAAGAGTGAAAGGTACTTTAATTAAATAAAATTCATGGTTGTTTCTTTAAAATGTATGACGCAGAAAAAGAAAATCATTTATAATTTATTGGGAAAAAAAAGTATATTGTGCGTAAATTATTTTAAGAAAAACAAAAACAATAAAGAGACAAGAACAAGTATAACAAAAAATTTAAGGTTGAAAAGGACGAAAAAAGCATATGAAAACATAAAAATTCGACAGCAGAGCTGAAAGAATAGAAGAAAATGTCAATTTAATGTAAGTATAATTCCTTTGTCATTTATTCGTATATATATACATATAAATATTTTATATAGTTATAATTTTTAATTAAATACGAGCAACATCCTCACAAAATTATCAAATACAATTTTAATAATATTTTTTTCTAATAAAAACTTTTTCTCTATTAGTAATTTTAATTTTAATCAATATAGTGAACGACTAATTCGATCAATTTTAGTTAATAATTGAAATTGTAAGTAAGAATGTTTAAATAAGACACATACAAATATTCTCTATAATGTGTATATCAGTTATAGTTCTTCTAAACAAAAATTTTATGTTTAATCAAATTTTTATGCTATTCCAAATTAATTTTTAACTTAATCACTTTGTGATATTATCATTCTTAAATTTAAAATGTAAAACTTTTAATATATTGATTGTGTATTCAGAATTTTTTCTTTTAAATTTTATAGAAAAAAAAAATATATTTACTGTGTTTTCTTTTATATACACACGTGTACATTTTGTTTTTTTTTTTTTTTTATACAGAAATATTATGCCAAACAGCTTTAATGAAGAGATGAACACAAATTTTTTTTTTTTTTAATTTAAAGGACTCATGTAATGTTATGAAAACATTATATTTACAGATAAAACAATTCCTGTACACAATTCGATATTATAAAGTATATATTTTCTGTAAAATGTTTTGAATATAATGTCTGCATTCTGCACATTATATTATTATAATAAAATGATGTTATCATCAAAATATGTATACGTATAAGGAATTTAGATTTATTAAAGCAGAGATTCAAAGATATAAATTGAATAGCATAAAATTTTCTGCAAATTATTTTCTTTACATAATATACTGTTAATATTATAACATTATGTTTTGTTATTATTATTATAACATAATGTAATAAACTACAGTATATAGTAAAATTATTTCACTTTATATCCATAATAAAAATTTTTTAACATTTTATAATATATGGGACATGCCAAAATTTTTAATGCTAAAAAATATAATTATTTTATGTTCTAGATGTCAGGTAAATCTGTGAATACGAATATGCGAGTATGAATATGTTTATGTTAAAGTATATAACTATGTGAATATAGTTATGATAAATACATAAAATTTTATATATTTATGTATGTATGTGCATTAATGTCTGTTGACTTACATATTTTATATTTGGGTTCAAAATATCTTAATTTTATGTACCAAGGACGAATAAAATTCTTTTTTTTTTTTTATTCTTTTGTGGTTACATTTTGTTTTTTTTTTTCGTTCTTTATATTTTTGTAATATATTTTACATTTTCAGCATAATTTTATGTCATAATAATAATCATAATAATAACAATATATGAATGGTATAAAAAAAAACTAGTAGACCAACAATAAATGTAAAAAGAAAAATATAGAAAAATAAAGTAAGAACTCTGATGATGATGTAAAACCATTTTCATAATTAGTTTCACATATACACTTATACATACATTTTGTAGAAATGTAATCGTCTGTAAATAAATAATATTTTTTTTATTTTTTAATAATTTATTTATGATGTCTTGGGGAGTTCCATATTTTTTTGCTTATTTCTCTCAAAATACATTTATCAGATGTACCAACAATATATTATGTAGTATATTAAAATGAATATTAAGAATAATGTGTTACATAAGAGCAAAATATGTACATACATATGTAATAAATAATACTTAATAATCATTATGATTTGAAATATTTCTCTTGTATGCACATAAAATATAATAATGCATGTTTATAAATATAAATATACAATTATAAAATGGATAAATTCAAATTAAGTATTCTATTCTATAACAAAATGCTATTACAAAAAAAAAATATGAAAATAATAAAATTAGGTCAAGGTTTTCTTCTTCTATATATTAAAGATGCTTTATAAAATGTTATATATGCAGATATTGAGTTAATTAGGTTTTATGCCATATAGAAAAAAAAAACTACTTAAATATTATCTGTGTGAAAAAAATAAATAAATAATTTAATACAAAAGGATATTTATTTCAACTAAAAGTATGAAATATGTATAATAAATAAAAGGTGAGAATGTAAAGGGGCCACTTGATCGTAATTTTCAAATAATTATGTATTAATAATGCTTGAAAAACAAAAAAAATAAATAAAGAAGTACTTACTTACTACTTGCGATATTTAAAATTTGATACTTAGTAAGTGAATGCCATTTTTAAAAAAACTTAAGTGATTCTTCTTTGGGTTTATACACACCAGGGCTTGATAAAGGCACTGATCCGGGTTCAATTCAGGAAAAATATAAATTTATTCTTATTTTTTTTCGGCTTCAGATTCATTTGGGCCCCTGTTGTTTAGTGATTTTATTTTTGAAACTTTACATTTCTTAAACGAAACCTTAAATAAAAAAACTTATTATATATATGTATATATATAATAAGTTTTTTTATTTACACACATATTTTATATAATAAGCAACAGAGATTAAGTTTAAGGACTCCTATAACTCACAAAAAATCGGTTTCTAGAAGACAATGAAAATTCTTATTTTACGTTTCCAATTGTTTCAGAAAAATACTTTTTTTGTGTTAACCAAATTATTTCTATTACTCAAACTGAGAGGCACAATAAATCTTTTCGGTCGGGGTGCATCGTCGCGCCATTCTGCAATTTACAATTACTCAAACTGTGCAGTTTTTATTACTTAAATCATTTATTATAGCTCGACTTAAATTTTGAGTAAAATTTATTTATTAATTGAAATCTAAAAAAGTTCGAAAGGCATAATAACTATGCTTACATAATACAATAAGTTAAGAATACAATATATTTGAAAAATAAGAAATTTATAACTTCGATGCTTTATTATGATCAAACTTCTTAACTGTAATTTTTATATGCTTAAGTGCTGTTTCTATATTTTTCTATATTTGAAGTACTCCTTACTTATTAATTATTAATAATTAACTAAAAGTACAATTATTTTAGTCGAATATGAGCATAATTATAACAGAGATTCTATTAATATTTACATATTATGTACACATGTATGCATTAGTAATAAGTGTACGAGTAAGCGTTATACTTCAAAATTAGCTTTGCAAAATCTAATGTGAAAATAATTTAACTAAATACATGGTACCCGTAGATTGCATTTCTATATGTACTTATACAAATAAGTAGTAATGTATTCATAATATACTAACTTATATTTTAAAATATATAAGTATTTAATTATATTTGAAAAATATCAAGGTTGTTTTTTTTTTCATTTTGAATTTATAAACAGAATATATTTTAATATAATGTACACCTAGATGAAAACTTTTACGATAAATATTTATTTTAAAAACAAATAAAAAAAAAATTTATTAATTTTCATCTATATTCATAAGTAAAGTTTGTATATTAAAAAGTTTAAAAATTTCTATTACGTGATTTTTCAATATTTATAGCATTTCATTTAAGGGCATATAACACTCTGAAAATATAAAGCTAAAAGGGTATACGACGATCAGGCCTGTTGAATTTTATATTTATATTAAAGTTTTATATTCTTATAATGAATGAATGCTAAACTGAAAATACTCAAGTATTTTGGAAAATCGTAAGCTTCATAACCGGCTTTTTATATTTGATATTGAAAATGTAAAACTAAATTTTAAAATTCTTGTGTGATTTTGAATAAAAGGAAGAATTATAATGTTTAGGCTTGTATTCATCAATCTTTAATAATTTTTTAAAAATTTTTTATTTTTCTACTTAATGTAAATACATTTTATGGGCAATATCAAAAAGGTTCCCCTATAACAAATCAACTTAGGCTTACACTACTGATGTAAAACAAAATGTTCATTTGCTACACTCGAAACTTTTTTTTTTAAAATCATGATTCATCTTTTACTGAGTTTAATAAAAATCAATCAACGTTATTTTAAACATAAGACCTAGCCAAAGTCTATATTACGTTATATGTAGATATTTTCAATAAAAATTTAATAAAAATTAAAAAGCATAAAAAACAGCTTTGTTTTCAACGATTTGTTGAATAACCGGTAACTATTTAAACAAAGTTATGATAATATTTTTCTTATTTTCTATCACTAGTTATTCGATAATCGGCAATTATATTTGTTTTTTTTCTTGCTATTATTCAATAAAGCTTATTATAAGTGATGCAGCTAGTTTCTGTTCCAATGATTTTATATAAAAAAAAACTACTTATAATAAATGAATTTAGAATTTTTGATATTGTTGCCAATGAACAGAGAACCAGACTTGAACATTAAAGATATGTGCTAACTTTAATGACTTAAAAAATTGTTAGTCAAAGTTTTCTTTACTTTATTTATTTATTTACGATATTAAGCATGTTAAAATGGTCCTTTACCCTCTTAACCTTTAAATCGTGTTAAATGAATTCATTTTTTAAAGACTATATTTGAAATAAATACAAAATTAAGGCTTATATATGTATATATACATAAGGTTAATTAAAAAAAAAGATTGAACTAAGGGAATGAGATCAAAAAGACGAGCTTATATAGTGAAATTTAAGTTTCTGTGTTGCGCTGCTCTTTAAAAAAAAGTTAACAAAGCTAGTCACTTCCCTTATTGTATAACCATAGTGCCCACCCACACATATGAGTACATACATAAACATATATATATGTATATAGAAGATTCAAATTAATTTTAATTGGTGTAATGAACTGCAAAGTTATTATTTTTAATTTTAAATTAATTTTTTTTGATAATCATAATTTGATTTATGAGACTGCATACCTTATTCGCATTTCAAGTAAATTTATTAAATGCACGATTGAATGAAAACTTTCTAGGAAATCCTTAAGCAACATCTACTAAACATAATATACTAAAACCAACATATACTAGACATATTAAAAATTTCGATTTCATATCAATATAACTTTAACGTTTCTTATAAAATTAATGTTCATTTTAAAACATTTTTCATAAACTTTGACTTTTTATAAGAC